AATTTTGAATTAAAATTATAATTTACACTCAATCTGTTATTAATGCATACTGTTTTATAATGTACTACAACACTGAGGTGCAAATATATTATTGCAAGAAAATAAAACTTTTTACATAGTGTACATACAGTGTTTCCCCAGCCATTATATTAGGGGGCGGCCCCCTTATTAAATAAATAATTTTATTTAATTATATTTTCTCTATAGCGCCAGATCACAACAGAAGTCATTTAAAGTTACTTTTGCTATAGAACATGTCTATACCTTGTTCTTTTATTAAACAAACTAAATAGCCTTATGTTATTTATCTTATTTACACAACGGCATGTTATTTCTGTCTCTATGTTACATGGTCGCGCTCTCTGTATCACGCACAGCGGAGTTCCGCCCCGATGCGTGCGTGCGCGCGCTCACACACACACTCACACACACACACACACTCACACACACGTGCGCGCACACACAAGTGAACACACTCCCACTAGTATTTGTAAATATTAATCCGCAAAACGACCATTTAAATATGAATTCTGTGTGTCTCTGTGTTAATGAATGGCGCAGACGCGCGGTTTTGTTTACTACTCGTACTGAAGCGCGCGTGATGCTTCCGGTGATATTAGTGTCTGCCGTCTCACTAATGAGGACATAAATACATGAACAACATCTCCAGAACTGCTCTGAGAGTCACTTAATGAGCATTTTACCGTTTCATTTGAGTAAAACTATCCTCATATCATATACACACAGAAATGTGAAGGTATTCACGGCAACCCGAAAACCTGATTTTTAAGGAATAATCATACAATATTTCTTTAATGTTTTCATTGTAATATTAAATCCCCTTTATTTTCCCAAAAATTTAATTTGTTTAATTTTCATTAATTAAAAGATAAATTAAATGAATGTTTTATGCCTTAAAAATGTAAATACACAACACAGAATTTCTGAGGGGAAAAAATCATAAGGCTATTGTAAGAATAAATTAAACTTTATTTATGGTTTCAAATAATTACACATGCTAAAACAGAATTTGGTAACAATAAAACATAAGGTTGGGGGAAAAAAAAACATTTTGGGACCTAAACATGTAATTTCTGTTAAACTTTTAATAAACTGATGTTAAACTGTATAAGTTTCATGATTTTAATTAATTAGACATGCTTTTTGATTAATACAATTTAATTTAACCATTAAAAAGGAGTCCAGAAAAATTAAAATGGAATTTTAATTCCATTTTAAACCTAGGGGAAACACTGCAGTTTAACACAAGGTTTCACTTTCACAATCAGCAATTGCATACTGGAAACCATGGGACAGCAGATAAAACGTTTTCTGTCTTATTATAATCTAATATGATAATATGTTTATGAATTACTTTCATGGCGTCTGATACACAGAAAGGAGGAAGGAAATTGTTGGGAGTTTCCAGTGAATCTCATCAGAAAAAACACCACAGGTTAAAACTGATCATCTGTGTTTTTCTGCATTGCTACTCTTCAGCTTTTGTTTTCAGTTTCATAGCTCAGATATACAACAGGCTAACTAATGTGTGAGAGTATGACACAAAGAAGACACGTGGTTTCCAGTATGCACTTACTGATTGTGAAAGTGAAACCTTGTGTTAAACTGGACATTAGTGTTTATGGTCAGCAGCGAATCAGAGCGAATAACCAGAGAGAGTGAGAGACCAGAGACAAGCCCCTGATTCTCTCGAACCAATCAGCATTAAAGGGCTGGACATAAAGCTGTGTTATATATAAGGGCTAAATATCATGAACGTACAACACACAACTCAGATCGAGCTGCTGCAAGGTAAGGGAAAAGAAATTCAGTTCATTTATGCCAAATGAAAATATGTATTAATAATACCAAAAACATACTTTTGTAGTATATTTAAAAAGGTAGGCATATATTCACAAAATGGAAAAGATTTGTAGTCGTGTACAGTGGTTCTCAAACTGGGGTACGTGAGGTGACGGAGGGGGGTACGTGAACAAAATTTTGGCATTCATTTAATTGTACCCTGACATTAAAACCGAACATGTATTTCTGACAAGCAAAATGCTGCATCTAATGTAAAAACAGGAAAATGGGAGTGCCGGAAACGGTCAAATACATGATATCCAATCAGCTTACCTCATCTTTTGCGGTCAGAACTGATGGCATCCACACAAGCAGCGTGCATGTGATAGGATGCCAGCTGAATGTGCTGCTTTAGCAAATCACGCTGCTGTTCAATATATCTTTAAAGTAGATCTTCACTTAATAGCATGAAGAGCAAATATTGACACGGACTGAGATCGATTTAAACTCTCTTCGATACAGACACACACTCTGTGCGAGTTATTGTTTCATGTTTAAGATACGAGCAAGAATGCAAATTTCTCTGAATATCCAAAAGATGGCAAATGTGCCATTAATTTTTACAACAGTTCAACAAAAAAAGGTAATATTAAGTGAACATTTTACATTTTAAATGTAGCCTACATTTCAAACAGAATATTGTCATGTTTGTTCTGTTTTAGCAATGAAAACAGTTCCCTTTCAGTCGGTCACTCTCAATGTCACGTCGGATGACCGACGAATTGGGATCTCGCTTAGAGAATACCGCCTCCACACAGCAGGGAGCACCGTGCCTCCCCTACCGGGTCTGTAGGTACTCGACTGGCCAGCGATGCTTATACGACCTGTGGAGAAGCTGCGAGCTATTTTCCTAAAAGAGCAATTACGGGTGCGTCTTTTTAAAGACTTGACGTTACGTCTTTGTAAAGACAATGTGGGTCTTGCTATAGACAACGTATCACCCGGGCGTTTCTGGATGCGGTCGTTACCTGGCGCTGGGTGATGGTCACGATCGCTGCCTCACGTGCCTGGGCATGTAGCACGCTGAGG